CCTTGTCTTAACCAACGAAAAAAAAAAAAAAAAAAAAAAAAGAAACCCTGCCTTGTCTGACCTGTCTCTCTGTGTCGTTCCTCTATATGTCCATTTTGCTATTTTGTGGGTTTCTACAATCTTTTCTTTTTTTGTTTTGTTTTGGAAAGGTGTAGCCCCTAACTGTATCGTAATCCATCTGATTAGTGCACCAGGATTTGAACCCGTGATCTCTTCATAAACCATTACATCTGTTTACCGTTCTGCCACATGGGCTTGGTATTCTGCACTCATTTCACCCATATGTATGAAGTACTATGAACAGATTGGCGGTGAACCTCACCCCTCTAGTATGCATATTGCATAGCCATTCATTGGCCTTCACCTAGACATAGGAATCTTTTTCTTCCAGGAAAAAAAGAAGCTATGTCTGGAAGCTTTTTGAATGCAAAATTTTAAATTTCTATCTCGCTATTGAAGCAGGAAAGCCCCCTTCAAGTGCTCATTTTATGGGTTCTTCTTTGTCTTCTTCGTATTCTTCTTCCTCCTCCTCCTCCTCCTCCTCCTCCTCTTCCTCCCTCCTCCTCCTCTTCTTCTTTCTTTCTCTTCTTCTTCTTCCTCCTCCTCCTCCTCCTCCTCCCTCCTCCTCCTCCTCTTCTTCTTTCTTCTTCTTCTTCTTCTTCTTCTTCTTCTTCTTCTTCTGTCCTCTTCTTTTTCATCAGCCACCAACCTCAGATAGATAAAACACAGGTAATTATAGTTGTTGCTCTGACGGACAGAGGGGTGGACAGATGGATGGATGGACGGACGGATGGATGCATGGATGGATGGATGGATGGATGGCTCTACCACTGCAGCTTGAAGGAGACTACATTAACTTAAGACAGCCTCAGGGCGTACTCACACTAGCACTATCTAAAATGTATCGCAACGCATTTCCGGGCAAACCTGTATGCATCTGGCCGCAATTCCGTCCAGAAATAAGTAAAAAAGAGCTAGGGTGAGTATGCCCTCAGACAGATCAAACTCAGGTGATGAAGTTGGCTGCTCTGTGGCTGCAGATTTTTATGGCGATCGTGCAAGCGCTGGTCGCTCTCAAGTGTTGTCATTGTGTTTCTTTTTCCTTACATTTTCAAAATTCTAGGTAGTTCACTCTCCCAACTCATTGCAGGTGGTCAAACCTACTTATGCACCCAGGCTGAGAATGTACATGCGGCAACCCCTCTGCAACCCCTCTGGCTGCCACCTTTGGTTACTCTCTTCAAACCCACTTTGAACCTCCATTTAAAATTTAAAAATTAATTTTTGACTCGCCAGCCTTAGGGCATCTCCAGCTCAGCCCTGTCAAGCCCCCCCCCCATTGTTACCCTAATTTGTTCAGCTGTGATTTTGCCGAGCACTTTTTTGTGCTGCAGAGTGTGCATAATTTATCCAATCGTGCTTATGCAAGCATACGTGCTGCCAAAGGAGTGTTCTTAAGACCCCTCCGTATCTAGTTGTTGTTGTTGTTGTTGTTGTTGTTGTTGTTGTTGAAGCCGGGTGTTGGTTGCTCTGGTCTAATGGTGGGGAGCTGCATGCTGGAAACCGGGTCCAGCGTCCCAACATAATGTTTATTACTGAGGCCATCACCTAGCTTCGGCTTTATAGTAGGTTTAAACCTACCCTGTCCTGTATCTTCGTCTGTCAAAGAACCACCTTTCGTCAGACCGCCGCCCCCGAGGGTTCCCGACCTAATACTGGTCGGGCGTACGGCGGTTGGCCTATTCCCGCACTGTGCCTCTTCCCTGGGATACCCCAAGGTTAACCAACCTCTGTGGAGTCCAAGGCTCGGCCATACGGCTGGGTCCGGTCTATCTGTGTGGCAGCGACAGAGTCCCTCATGAGGTGACGAGAGGAGGTTCTTCCTTCCCCCTGGCACCCTGCTGGCCTCTTGCCCGACTGACAAGCTATGCCACAGCCTGTCTTCCTTTACTTGCTACCTGGGCCTGCCGCACCTGCTGGGTGATTAAATGCCCAGGCTGCAAAGCCCTTTACACACATGTGACCAGGTGTCTAAGACCATGGTTGTGGACTGTTCTCCCTCCTTTTCGGCTCAGATCTGCTGTGCGGCTAAACTTCAAACTTGATAACCCCCGGTATTGCGTGGTGCTCCTGGCTGCCTGGGCTGCGAAGGTCAGTAAGACTTACGCTGGCTCTCTGAGTCCGCGTGGTGGCATGGCGCCCACCAGAAGTTCAGTCTGCGGCATGTGACTGAGCCCACCCGTCCACGTCTGAGGACATCGCGGGAGGACTTAAGCTGGAACTCTTGGGCATTCCTTGAGTCCTGCTGCATCTTTTGTCGGGTCTGGCGCCAGTCTACCCAGTATCCTGCCTCCAGGAGTTAGAGCAGCTCCCCCCATTGCTGCTGGGGATGCTGTTGTTTTCTGTCAATGACGGCTGTGCATCTTCTTTTCCAAATTGAGCACATCACAAGACGGTGCAGTCTTCTGAAGAGGAGAGGCTGGTATGGTTCCAAAAAGCGAGGGGGCGAGACGCCCATCCAAAGGAGAGGAACGTGGTCCGGGAAGGGGAGGCCACTCAGTGCACTCCAGAGGTTGTGGGCTCGGTCCCAGATCGGCCTCGCCTCCGGGCATGACAGAAAGCAATGGAGGATGTCCTCAAACCTGGGCCTAGGCGCATAATGTGCAACGGTCATCGTCCAATGGCTGCACGTTGTGGGGATTCCTGTGCCGGACCAGCCACTGATTTACCACTAGTGCCAGGTGGACGAGCAGCCGGTGCATGCTGCATACTTTGGGGTTGCTTATGGCTTGGGGTATCGACTCCCATGGCAGCTGGGGCATGTGCAATAGGTGGAATCCCAGACTTTGATTCCAATGCCGAATGACTGCTATGGATATGTCCAGCACCTGTTGTTGTCGGAGCCCGTAGGCCAGCCTGGTGGTGTACAACGACAAAAACCGGCAACCGGCGAACCCTAAAGGATAATGTAGTGGCGGGTTGCTGTGCCGGAGCCAGGCCTTGGTGTTCTTGTCCATGCCCATTCCACCGTGGCCACTTTTGAGGTCCTGGAGGTATTGGGCGGGGACGAAAAGTGTGAGCTCGTCTGTTCCAAGAACGTGTACCTTCCACAGTGCCTGGGGCCGAAAGGCTACCTGGCCTGATGCTGTCCGCTGCAGTTTACTCACCGTACGTCCAGGGTTGTCCAGGATGTTGTGCATGTCAAATATTAGCTACTAATGAAGATACATAATATATACCCACCATTATTGGTGCATCCCCCCAGGTTAGGCCCGGGAATTGCTGATGGCATTGATTGCTGCTTTTGGAAGGATTGACCGTCAGCTAAGCCCATACTTCGGAACGAAGCCCGTCCCCCCCTTAGGAAAAGGAACCCATCTCCTAACACGAGTAACCCCCTCAAAAACCATGCCTCAAAAACAGCCAGAGTACTACCTCTCAGCTCGCTGCCAAATAAAATAGCAAAAACCAGGAGAACTGTGATCGGGCGTGCGCTTCCTTCTACGGAAGAAGGATGATGTACCCCTTGCTTCACTCCTGTTGTCCTCTCGTTGTGCGCACTGGACAAAGGGGGGGGGGGGGTTGATGCTGGTGCTCGTACCCCCAACATGTTGGACCCTTGTAAACAATAATCTGAAAATCTTGGGTATCGTTGAGCACCAGCGAATGCCGGTACTCAGACCTACAGGGAGAGGGTGCCCATGGAAGGCTAAGTTGCAGTTCACTGTTCGGCTCAGATATCATTCCGGTCATAGTGAGGATTGGTGGTTCACGAGGGAAGAACTAAAGCTAAACGGAGACCACACTACCGTCTTCCCCCGAATACAACGTACGGTCATTATAGCTGTATTTGGGGTATCTTTCCGTCTAAATACACCAATAATGACTGTATGTTGTATTCGAGTGAAGAAGGTAGGAGTTGTGACTGGTTATGGATATGAAAGAGGTCTGAACGAAAGGCAGAAAGGGGAATGAAGGGGTTCTCGGGAGACTTTGCACCCAAAGGGGGTGGGAGCGTGTGGGTGGGTGCAAGGGGGCCACCCTGTCGTGGCAAGACTGGTAGGCCTAAGGCCCTACCTTCGGGCCTCTAACGGAAAGTGGCTTGGGATCTGGGTAGGTGAGGGCAGCTTCTGGAAGCCACCGGAAGGCAGAGCGTACCATCCCTGTGCAGGTCCCAGCTTGTGCATATAGGAAGAGGCCAGGCAGCCAGACAAATTCTTCCTGGGGCAGTCCCAGCAGGCTGTGCGGCTGCGTGGAGGCAAAACCTCACCGCTCTATCAGGGCCTACTCACACTGGGGGCTTTTTTGAAGTTTTTTCCCAAAGGCTCAAAACACTGACAACAGCAAAATTTGCCATAGTTTTGCAGTCACACTTTCCCTGCCGGCCCATCGAGTTCGCAATTGGTGTGGCAAATGTCAGTGGACTGGAGGGCCAGGGGGTTGAGCAAATTGCCMCCCCCCCCCCCAAGAGGTCCTGGCTATTTTTAACCCCCCCCGAATCTGTGAGCTCACAGAAGAGAATTGCAGGCATCCCCCGACAACTTTTGCTGTGTGGACCGCACAAGCGGGCGATTTGTCAAATGGCAAGGCGTCGGGGCATTTTCTTTTCCAATTTGCGACCACCCCCAGAGGTGGTGGCTACTTCTCCCCTCCCTCCCCGCCCCCCCCGCGAATCTGTGAGGTCACAGAAGAGAATTGCAGGCATCCCCCGAATACTTTTGCTGTGTGGATCGCACAAGCAGGCAATTTCTCAAATTGCTGGGCGTCGGGGCATTGTCTTTTCCAGTTTGCTACCACCCGTGTGACTACCCGACACAGCAAAATGGCAAGCGGTGAGTAGCAAATGCACCAAAGTTTCCTGTTTTGCTACCTGTGTGTGTGATCACTTGTTATGCCCTCGCTGTGAGCTGGACTGTAACAGGAAAGTCTAGCAGGAGGCAGGAGACCTGATGGTGACAGAAGAATCCGAACAACAGATTCGCTTCTTGCTTCAAAAGTAGCCTTGAAAGTTGTGCGGAGGAGGAAGATTGGCTGGGGCAAGGACAGATAGCGACAATAAAGGGAGGGGCCCTATGGTTCGTTGACTGGTGCGGAGAAAGAGAGGTCCAGGTACCATGAATGTGGTGCTCGCGTACCTCACAGGAACGGCAGAACGCTTGAGAGGGCAAAAAAGAGACAACGACCACAGAATGCCGAGCGCCGAGCGGTCTAACCCTGCCATATCAGAGAGAGAACAGAAGGGGAGGGGTGGTCGCAGCAAAACCCTAGTTGGGTGGGAAGGATCCCTGCCTTTAACACCTCATCCCCGCAAGGGTGGTCCCCTGGGGGGGTATGAGCACCACCAGGAAAGAGCAATGTAACTTTTACATGCTTTGTCTGGGGGACACAAACTCTAGAGTCTAGACAGAAAAGGAGCGTCACTCAGAGAAAGAGAAGAATTTTTTTATTTTATTTTAATAATTTTATTACTTTTTAATTTTTTTGTTTGATGGCTTATCTGGCAGTCTGGATTTTCAGACTGAGAGGAAGATCCTGTGCGCCTTGTTTTGCATTTCTGTTTTTTTTTTTTTTTTTTTTTTTTTTTTTCCAGGGTAGCGGCATGGAAAAGGAGGGGGTTTGGACAACAGCATGGGCATACTCCTTACAGTCAATCCCTCCTCACAGAGACAATCAATGCTGCTAGGGGCTCTCCTGGCAATAACGAGAGGGAGAGGGGGGTGAAAGAAAATGCTTGAAGCCCAAAGCCACCATCTAATGACACAAGCAGAGAAAGTAGTCCAGTCCTTGGGGTCAGTTCCTGAAATCGGTCCCGACTCCCGACCGTGAGGTCAGTTCCTGAAATCAGTCCCGACCTTGCTTGGGCCCAGTTCCTGAAATCAGTCCCGACCCCAGTTCCTGAAATCAGTCCCGACCTTGCTTGGGCCCAGTTCCTGAAATCAGTCCCGACCTTGGGCCCAGTTCCCCTGGCCAGGCCAAGAGTCCAGACTCCATTGGTAAAGAATGCAGCTGCTCTAAACTTTGAAGTTCGAATTGCTTTTGTAAAATTGTGTTTTGTACTACTTTTCAGTATTTCTACTTCCCTGCCCGTGGGTTAATAATTATGCCCCCGCCTGCCACACCCAAAAAAAAACAGAGCATCCCCCTTGATTAAGGTTCTCTTTTTCCTGTGTATTTTTCTGCGGTTGTTCTCGATGTTTTGCGTACAGTCAGAGAAGGTGACCATAGTCTTCCCGATGAGATTTAAGGACAGCAATGATGCAGCACTGGGGGTTGCTTTTCTACAGGTATGCATGCCTCTGTTTGTTTGTTTGTTTGTTTGTTTTTTGTTGACAAAACAAGCTCCAGTCTATTCGTGGGGAGGAGCACGTGCTGGGAACCGGGCCCAGCGTCCCATTTGAGTGTTATACAAAAAACATAGGAGTATACCGGGGACATTACCCGGCCTCGGCTGAGAAAAGAGTTACGTAAGCCCTAATCTACAGGCTACTACCTGCCAGCATTGATTGCCCGGGGATCCCAGGGGATTAACTGAGCAGGTTCACCTAAGAGCGCATATGTCCATTTGTTGCCTTTGAAAGGTGGCCGGGGGCGTGAGAGGGCATGAGGTGGGGGGGGCGGGGGTGGGGGGCTCTGGAGATTCTCCTTCCCACCTCCGCTTCCTCCCTCTCCCTCCCTCCGGACCCTGATTCAATCTTTATGCAAGACCTCCACCAGCGACAATGGTTGGGGGGGGTACAGGTCTGGAAAGTCTGTTGCTGGTCTTAGCGGTGTGCCCAGGTCGATTGTCGTCCAGTCGTGAAAATGCAGATGGTAGTCTCTGGATATGCCAGCCCCATGTTGCCAGTCCTCTGCTTGCTGCTCCCCACGTTGTCCGTCCCTTTCTTGCTGTTGTCCGTCCACCTTGCAGCCGAGAGTCCCTGGACCATGTCACCTCCACCATCCATCCTGACCGCTTCCCTCCCAGCCATTCCATGCAAAACTGAGTGATGATCTTGCTCATATCGCCAGCTGAATGCACGAAGCCCATTTCCTGCTTGGCTGCCTGCCACTGGTTGGTAATTGCGGTGTGGATGAGTTGTATTATTTCCTCTCTGACCGCCCCCTCCTTCCACCCTTGCTCCTTCCATTAGCAGCGTGCATCTGTGCGACCACAGGGTCCATCATAGGATAGACCTCCTGCCCAATCGGAACATGTGCCTCTTTGAAGGCATCACCTTGGAACCCAAGGTAGCGGCCTGTTAATAGTGCTCTCCACTCCCATGGCCACACCGTACCCGGTGCTATCGGGCGCCAAATCCTGTCCCACCAGCACCCTGTATCAAAATCGAGGAGGGACACTGCAAAACGAGATGTTCTATGGTTTGTGCAACTTTCCGCCTTTTTCGGCTTCGGATAACTTTTTTTTTTTTTTTTTTTTTTTTTTTTTTTTTTTTTTATTACCCCGGTGTACTCTCGCACTGCTCGCAGGCATTTTTGGCATCATGGTAGCGTCTCGCCCCTGCTGCTCCAGATTTGTTATGGTCAATCAGCCAGTTGTTGGTCGGGAGGCACGGATGGGCAATCTGCCACTGGGGAGGAGACGTTGGCCGTCGAAGTTTTACTTGGAGAGCCGTATGCAATGAAAGTTGCACGAGGCAGCAAAGTAGTATCGTGGAGTTAACTCAGTTAATCGATACGGGCGCCTTCGGCCTATCTATATAGACTATCTATCTATCTATCTATCTATCTATCTATCTATCTATCTATCTGTGTG